ACCGTAATGTAAGTTTATTGTAAGCCAATTCTTTTCTATATGCATAATTATTTTTCTCTTACTTCTAAAAATTACCATTGCTCTATTTAGATTTATAATCAACTATCATTACATACATAATCATTAGTTGTTATTCTTATGTTTCATGGCTTTATTTTTTAGAACACTATTTTAGAATATATTTTTCTACTTTCAGAAAATATTTAACTCTTAACTTGTTATTCTGAAAACTCGCTACCTAGAAAAAAAAATTTTTAGCGTCCCTTCAACTTTGAGATATAAAGAGTTAGAAAAACTTCATCTGCGTTATGACATTGGAACTATCATTCTAAGTTTTTAGTGGTTCCGACAAGTTTTTAACGTTAAAAGTTTAACCCTGGATTGTGTTAAGATGAACTTGGAAAAAATAATCATAATATATAATAATAATAATATTATACAATAATAATTATAATATATAATAATAATTATAATAATAATATAATAATAATTGTAATAATTATAATATATAATAATAATTATAATAATAATATAATTATAATAATAAAACAGTATATTTATAATAATAACACAGTAATTATAATTAAATGAATATATATTACATTAATTATAATAACATTAATTATAAAAAGATGCTTAATTCTTACTGGTAAAATTTCGAAATTATGGACAAAACACAGAAAGTTAAAGCTATTNTAATAATGAACCAAGACGCACATAAGATATAATAAGAAAATGTGAAATATTTATGGAATAAAAAAAACTAAGTTCATTGATTAACACAGTAAAAAAGTTTTTTTTTGCTATATATATGTTGCTTTTTGTATGAATCATCAAATCTATCTTATTTTTTAAACTGTTGTAAATTTGAAATACTTATAAGGTATCAGTACGAAATGGTTTAGAAGTGCAAATTGTTCTAACTTCTCAGTGATAAATTTTCAAGAGCTAAATTTTGTCAGGGTTAATAAAAATACCTTGAAAAAATAAAAATAGACGTAGAAAAATTTTTGTAAGAAAAAATAAGCGAAATCCCGAAATTGCGACCACTATAATTATAGAATAATAAATAATGTAATATTTTCAATAAAAAATACAGAATGTAGATTCTCACCTATTTTTTTTAAGGATAGCTAAACATCCATTAATTTTATAGTAACAAGATAAACCATATAAGCCGTTATATTTGAAATTGGAATAAGTCCATTTTTGAGCTAAATAGTAGTTTATTTGTTAATTTATTATTTTTTTTACATTATTAATAATCATTGTTACTCTTTCTTGTTTAATCAAACTATAGTGTTAAAAACATCTCCCAAATAGATTAACTTTTTTTAATTCATCCAAGCATTAACCCTTTAAGGCCTCAAACTTATACCATTTTTCAAATGGATTAATTATACTTGTAAAAAGAACGGCACATATTTATTGAGGCTGACCCTGTACAGCAGGGACCGTTTTTGAACGTCGATATCGATTCTTACTGCTTCTTTCAAAATGCTTATGAAGTATTAAATCTAAACCACACAAATAATCGTTCGATTTTGAAGAATGTTCCATAGGTTAAAAATTATTGTTTCCTAAACAAGGAAAATAAAAATAAAAACTGAAAATTTGCCTACAAATAATGACTGAAAAATTAATAATAATTAGAAAACGATCCTTTCGATGCTAATTAAATTATTTTCAAATTAAATCTTGCAAATAAAAAGTAGCTTGTTCTATTGCTTATAATAATAAAATAAAATAGTACTTCAAGTTTAGTTTCAATTTTATCTTAAATATGGATGAAAAAAATAAAAATTGGTTATACCCCACATTTTAATCGGTATTTGCATTGAAGGCCTTATCGAGTTGTAGGAAAACTCCACATTTGTTCATTTTGAGATGTATACAGAACTGTGGAGTAATTAGTTGAAATATTTGACTCCAACTCCGGACGACTTTTTTGAAAGCTCAACTCCAACTCATACTCTGATAAAATTTTCCCCGAATCCTCGGAAAATACTAATATTACAAATAATAAATATTAATTTATGCATGCATGATTAAATGCTATTTTACTTATTTTTACTTATTTGTGCTTCCCTCTATCGAGTAGCAGAAATAAATTAAAGGTGAATTAGTCTTTAAATGAGGTAGAGATAGATCAGGAGTTTCCACCTTACATGAGGCCGGGGGCCACAATTAAAAACACAAATCAAATGGCGGGCCGCAACTTTATCATAATTTTATGTAGGACTCTCTTATGTTTGAAGGAACATTAAATATTACTGTCAGATTTTTACCAAGTTGTACAAAACAAAAATATTGAATTACAAATTAAAATAAGAAGTAGATTTTTAAAAATATTTAATTGCATATAAATTCGGGCTACAATAACTTTAATGTGCACCCATGTATTAAACAATTAATGTGCAGATACAGATATCTATCTACATTAAACAGATATCTATTTTGTTAAAATATAAAACTTTAAAAAGGTTCTTATTAAAACTTACGTAGTAGCACACAAAATGTTCAATGATAAAATTGAGGTTTGTCTGCTGCAACTATCAGAGAAAAGATATTTGCATTTTAAATTTAAAATTTACAAATGTGTATGTAAATATTTTCTTCCAAAATGAGTGGTTTCAAAAAGTTAAATCGGAGAATTTCTTCGAGAAAATTTCTGATACACACATGCTAAATTATATTCACAAAATACAAAAAAAAAATGAAATAAAAAAGAGCAACATACGCGTTTATTTTTGTATTTGAATAAATATGTTCTTGGATGCAAAACCTGAGAAAAAATTCTTTTTGCACCGTTGGTATGATAAATTTCACAGAAACGAAGAAATTATGTTTTTATTAACGAGAAAAGTATTTTAAACAAATATATATTTTTTACGAAAATTGTCCGCAAAAAAATGACAAATAATATATTTTAGTTCGCGGGCCGCAAAAAAAGGCTTCGCGGGCCGGATGCGGCTCCCGGGTCGCCAGTTGGAAACCACTGAGATAGATGATTTATATCAGTGGTTACCAACTGGCAGCCCCGCAAAGCCTTTTTTGTGGCCCTTGAAATAAAATATATTAGTTGTCCTTTTTTTAGGACAATTTTCGTAAATTCTATGTGGGCTTAAAATACTTTTCTTTCGTTTTAAAAAACCTAATTTCTTCGTTTCTGTGAAATTTAACATACCTAAGGTGCAAAAAAATTTATTTCTCAGGTTTTGCATCCAAGAAAATATTTATTCAAATACAAAAATAATCGTGTATGCTGCTCTTTTTTTATTTAGTTTTTTTTTCTTCTTTTTTTTGTATTTTGTGAATATAATTTAACGTGTGAATATCAGAATTTTTCTCGAAGAAATTCTCCCATTTAACTCTTTGAAACCACTCATTTTGGACGAAATTATTTACGTTTGTAAATTTTAAAACGCATAAAAGAGGGAATGAATATTATGTTTTATTTAAATTCCTTGAATTGGATATCGCAGGAGCGGAATAATAAAATAATAATTAAAAAAATTAATTTCAGGTACTCCATAATTTTTTGTTGTTGCTATAATTCCTAAAAAGTCGAAAAAATGTTAATTTATCCCAGAATTAAATTTAAAAGAAAAAAATCTTGTCACTAAGTTTCTGATTAAGAGAAGATTAAAAATGATACGTAACAAGCATTATTTGTAATGCTTGTTACTTTGCCATTTAATATTAAAAAAACTTTGATAAAAATCTGACAGTAATATTTAATGGTCTTTCAAACATAAAAGAGTACTATATAAATTCTGATAAAGTTGCGGCCCACCATTTGACTGGTGCTTTTAATTGCGGCCCCCGGCCGCATGTGAGTTGGAAGCCCCTGATTTATATCAACACGTAGGTTAAGCAGCCATCACTTTTTTTTCATTAGTAGAACTGGTCGTCAGTTATTTTTTACCCTTGGTTGGGTATTTATTACCTCTTTTTTCTTCTTCTGATGTCATAAGTCATCCAAAAATGTTGATTTTGATATATTTCAGGCTTCATTGCAAAAATTAAAAGACGATAAAAACTTTTTAACTTTAGAATTTTTCTGGTGATGATGTTTGCTGAATGGTGTGATAAATAAATAGCAAAATGATGGAGTTTTATAACAGATTATGCTTTAAAAGTCTTTTTAGGTGCGTATAACCTTTAAAAATTTCTATAATTATGTAGCTCAGTCACGAATTTTAAACTATACCACTAAGTAAGAAATTTCAAATATCAGATGGAAGTTTATTTATAACAAGTCATTACTTTTAAGTGAATTGCAATGATCTTCCATAATCGAAGCATTCGAAGAAATTTTAAATTTCAGATGGAAGTTTATTTATAACAAGTCATTACTTTTAAGTGAATTGTAATAACCTTCTATAATCGAAGCATGCATTTTACAATAAAAATGCTCAATAAAGTTACATAACACTTATTATTGTTTATTTACAAACTGATACTCAATTATCGTAGAAGCAACTTTTTGTTACAATAAAGGTTAAACATATATCCACAAATATGACTTTCGAACTTTATCATAGAAGCATAAGTTTATTATGTATATATATATTTTTAAAAAAATGCTCAATGCAACTTAATACTAATTCTAATTTATTTACATCAAAGGTTAAACTTATATCTTTAAATATAACTGACACTCAAATTTATCATAAAGGAACACATCAATTATTCATTATAAAATTTTCAATATAATTTCCTAATACTAGTTCCGATTTATTTACAATGAAGATTAAGCAAATTTTATTTGCAATAAAATTGAATCATAGAGCAATCATTATACATAAAAAAATATTCAATATATTTGCATTCTTCTAAATGTAAAATTTCTCAATGCTTAAGTTAAAAGTTTAATTATTATACTAAAAAAAAAGTTTTAAAAAATTAGTTATTATACACTAAAAATAGGTTTATGTACAATAAAAGCTAAATCTATATGAACAAATATAACTGCTACTTAAATTAAACTTGCTTACCAAACAATAGGACCCCCTCATATCGTCTGCGCTTCCATGTGATGCTCTCTAACCAATACTAATAAAATCTCACCACTTTGAAGAATACCACCGTTTTGTTCTGTTATCCGGAAGATTCTCCAGACCTCATCTCAAACCCCTTGAAGAAAACGATTAGTGTCACGCGTAATACCGCACGATGTCCCACTTTTTTCTTTTCCTTTTTTGATCTTCATTTCAGACGAGAGTATTTTGAACCGTGAAAAGTTTTTGTTTCTTAATGTCGTTTAAAAAGAGCGAGGGAAAAATAAAAATTCAAATAAGAAAAGTATCGCTTTCGTTCGCATTAACCCTGACATTACGCTTTTTCTCATCCATCAAATAACCGCAGGCGATATTAAAATAGGCAATCTTTTGTTATTTGATGTATAACATGAAGTGATGCGAAGAGAAAGTTAGATGATTTGGATGAATATCGTTTGCGAAAGGGAAATGAACGCCTTGAAAATTGCATAACTGGTGTGAATCGTTTGATCCATTTTAGGATTCGTTTTTATTTGCATTTAATACGTGGGAATCTTCTTAGTTACTTTCCTTTATGCTAATAATTACATATTTGAATAAAATGTATGTTATTTTCATGTTTCAGCTCCTTTATTAGTGTGCAAAATAAATGTATGTTAATAATTGATTTCAAATTCACAAAAAAAAGGAAATTTAAAAACATATTGAACATGTAAAAAATCATGAAATTTAAAGTTTATTAATAAAAACTTTCAAAATTAAAAATTTTATAAAAATATTCAAATCTCATTTAATGTTTTGAAAAAGCATTTGATGTTTTTTGAACCTAATAAATTTTTGGAATTTATCCTTTATATGTATTTACTCGTTTTCTACGATCAAAATATTTTAGAAACAATGTGGAGTACTGTCTTAGTGAATAGGAATAAGTGATTTTTATATTTATATTCTTTAGAAACTGTTCTTTAATAAGTCTCAATATGATTTAATATTTTGAAAAAGCATTCAATGTTTTTTGAACCTAATAAATTTTAGGAATTTATCCTTTATACGTATTTACTCGTTTTCTACGATCAAAATATTTTAGAAACAATGTGGAGTATTGTCTTAGTGAATAGGAATAAGTGATTTTTATGTTTATGTTCTTTAGAAACTGTTCTTTAATAAGTCTCAATATGATTTAATGTTTTGAGAAAGCATTCAATGATTTTTGAACCTAATAAATTTTTGGAATTTATCCTTTATATGTATTTATTCGTTTTCTACGATCAAAATATTTTAGAAACAATGTGGAGTATTGTCTTAGTGAATAGGAATAAGTGATTTTAATGTTTATATTTTTTAGAAACTTTTCTTTAATAAGTCTCAATATGATCTACGCATGTTTAGCTCCCAGTCTTTAAGGAAAATTATAATAACTGTGCTTACTATAAATATTGAAGTAAAGTGAATTCATTCAACAGTTTTTGATATGGAATTGAAGGCTTGTGTAATAAGAGAAATTACCTGGTCAGTAATAGTTTTCCTGTTGCGCTCGTTGTTAAAAAAGTTACACTGTTCATTCTCAGATGATTGTAAACATTAGTTTAAAAAATATAAGAATTCAATTGTTTTTGTTCCTGTTTGTTTTTATGTTAATGAAAGTAAAAGTATTTGTTATCACAAAAAATAAAAGCAGAGATCGTTTGTCTTAAATCTTACTTAAGTATTTATTTTAAATTTGTTCTCTTTTGCTTTTTTCAATGAAATTGTAATTAATCTTTGACAAAAAATGTTAACAATCATGGATGGCTTGCCTAATTGAGATTTTTTATCCAGCACATAACACTTAACATTATATGAGAATGATTTACACATGTTTGCAAAAAAATTTACTCAGAGTTCAAGATAAGTAGAGTGAATGACTTATATTATTGTAAAAATTCCTAAAACAAAATTATACTGAAATTATCAGGATTTTTTTTATCGACAAAATTACAAAATTTTGGTCAAAAGATAAGTCAAAATAATGAAGTCCAATCTCAAAAAAAAAAAAAAAACTACCAAATTAAAGGATTGAATCTTAGATTTCGTTTAAAAAAAATGGAAAAACACAGAAACGTCTTAAAAAGGAAAATAATAATTAGTCTGGAAAAACGCGTGAAACTTGAATAACAATTCGAACAACTTATTAAGGCACACGACAGTCCTACAAGAACTAGAACATTTATACAAGGGATGCAGCGAAGTGTATCATTTCAATAACGGGACAGTAAATCAATGAAAAAAAAGAGGGGGAAATAGTAAACGTCTCACTTAGACTGTTTGCATAGTAGTGGAAAGTTTTTATTATTTTAATTTCAAAAAAATTGAAATCAAATCAAGAAAGAAATTTTTTTAATACACTGTTTAAAACACCCATAAAATAATACTCCAGTTTTAATGGTATTTTATAACAGTGTAATTTAGAATATTTAGAACAAACGAAGAATTAAATTAAAGGTAAACTACAAAGAAACGTTCCATATTCCTTTCTGTTTTTCTTACAAAGATTCCATATGTGCACCATTACTCATACGGTACACATTCAACCTATGTCCAATTTTTCCCACAAGTTTGGAGTAAAGGAAGCTAAAGCCTCTTTTATATGCCTCGCTTTGGCTAATTATTAAGTAGCCGTGCAATGAAAACCATTTGCTGGTTAATTAGTCTATGATTATAAATCATTATTAGCCTATGATTATATTTCACATGGAACTATCGCAAGTGTTAATTGGAAATCAAGTATATTGGGTGTGTGCCGCAAACCTAATAGTGCTGCACATAAACATATTGAACATTTGTACGAAGAACAAAAATTATCTTCAACTTGATGTATGATAAATAGGTTTTTCATAACCGGTGTAGTAACAGTCAAGCCCTTTTTGGGTTTTTGGCTATCAATGGTCAACTCCGTAATCTTGTAATTGCGAACCCAACACAGAAGAAAAGGGAACTCCTGGATCAAGCATTGGGCCAATACAAGCTATCATGAAGGTTTTTTTTAATGGAACTCGCCCTCAATTAGCGTTAATGTTACAGAAAACCACGAAAACATTTCATGGTTAGCCCGAAGACAAAGGGATTATTACCCATGATTCCGTCTATCACTAAGGATATTTTACGTCAACACTGTGGCCGGGATTACAATTCGAATCAACCAGCCATCACTGGGATTTAAACCAGAGTCTCCTGAATGGGAGACAAGCGCTCTATACCCTGAGCGTCGCGACTTGAGGTATGTAGTCTAAATTATACTGTTATAATACATCAATGGAACTGGAATTTTCTTTTATCCACTTACTGTATGCTATTTTAAAATCATATTTACAACAGTAAATGAGCAATAAATTGTTTTTCAGCGTTATTGAAAACAACTTTTATAATAGTATTGTCTGCACAGATATAAATAACAGAAACCGGATATTTTTTCTTTCTTTTTTTGCTTTTTACCATAATTTATAGGACATACAGCACTCGGTTAGAATCCCATAGGAATTCTGTGCACGCCAAGTCGGAGTTTGATGTTTTCATCAATTCAATGAATTCTGGGTATCCGAAAACTTTTTAAGAACTTTTTAAGCACAATTTTTTACACAATTATAAAATTCTTTTATATAAAGATAATTATCCACAGATTAAGGTAAAACATGCAAAAAGTGTTTTTTAATAATTATTTATTATATTTTATTATTTAATTTGATAATAGTTGGAAAAAAATTTGAATCATAACGTGTACAATGTTTTTTTACAGAATGTATTTGTAATGGCAAAAATACAAAATTTTAGCAAAATCAGTTAAATATACGACTTTTTAAAAATTCGATTTCACAGGAACTAATCAAATGATTTCGTTCCAATTTTGTATTTTGCTATAAAAATATTATATTCTTCAAAATTATGCAAAAGTTTGAATTTTAAATCTTTTCTACTATTATTAAATAATTGGTAAAAAAAATTTTTTCCATGCAATTATCTTTGGATAAAAAAAATTTCATTATTGTGTGCAAAATTTTTTAAATTCGCTTAAGAATTTCTCGAGATATAGCGAAATAATCAAAAGGTAATATTAAGGTGTCCAAATTTCCTAGATTTCGACTGCCCTGTATTTGTAGGTGAGAAATTCAATTCCATAAAAAAAAGGTATGTTTATTCACAGAAAGTACGTTTTCGTGTAACGTTTTTGTAACTTAAAAAATATCGTCAGCACTTATTGATTAGCATATTTGAGGTCACCCCTGGAAACCATTAAGTTTGTGTCCAAGTACGTGAAATTCCAATCTCGAGATCATAAGTTATTCAAGGTGTTTCTTTCTTTCTTTCTTTTTTTTCTTCTTTTTTTGCGCACTTACATTCAGAAATTCTTTTTCCTTCATTCATTTTCAAAATTCTTAGAAGAAAATAATTCAAAAGTGGTCCATTGTACCCCACCACACTATTAATGCTACCTACTTTATCTGATAAATCCTTATCTGATAAAATACCTTATCTGATAAATGAAATTCTTTTCTTGAGGAAAATAACGTTTTAGACATGAAAATATTGAGGGAAATCTCTTCAACTCTGGATAAAAATAAATCAGTCATATAATTTTTACAAAATAACAAATAAAGTTTAGTTGTTTTAACAATGGGGCAGCTTAGTCGGATTAACCCAGTCTTTACCATGCGTGGGAATGAAATGTAAATAAAATGCAAATGCAAACAACTTTTCAATACATCGAAAGTGATACATCATCATCTTAATATATTCAACGAATTTTTAAGCGAAGATGCAAAAACAAATTTGTTGTTTTTAATGTAATTTTACTGATTACCTTTTCAAATAATGTCTTTAAATAATGTCCTTAAGCAAAGAAAAAAAATCCTTTCTCGTAAATTCTGATTATTTCAAGCTTAAGTGTCTCTGCTTAAGTGACTTTCTAGATCTAACATGGATAATTCCGTCATTCTCTGAAGAGGGAAAAAATTCACTTAGTAGGGAGAAAAAATCTTGTTAATCGACATTTAGTAAACATTTAAACAATCCAAAAAAAATTCCTGATTATAAAAGCTTTTTTCTCTTGAAACTTAATGCATGACTGAGTAGTAGTAAATGTCAGTTTTATAAAAAAAAGAAAATAAACAGAAGTATCTGCTACTGCTACGTAATTATATATTTCTTGGAACAAAGTTGGTGGATTTCAGGTAACGGCTTTAAGCTAAGATAATAGTTTTTTTTTCTGCTTTAAACAATTGAATAGTTTTTAATCTGTTAATTACTATGGTTTTGAAAATGTGGGCAACTGTTTTCGAAAAGAACGCGTAAGCTTGCTTAAGCATAAGTATATTTCAATTTAATAACTCATAATTTATTGCTAATGTAAGACCGTTATTTAGCCGATTCTTTTTCGAAACTTGAGTTTAAACTTTAAGAAAATTCATCCTAAAACTCTATAATTATAATGACTCTACAGATTTTGGTTGGTATTGTGATTTATTTTATTTCTGTTGCTAATAGTTCTTAAAGATTTAAACTGACGTAGTAGTTGAAATTGCGTTGGCATTAGAAATTTAGCAGAGTTGTTTCATATATTTAAGACAACAGCTGCAAGCTGTGATTAGATTTCTTTTTTTCAGGCCAATAACGCGATAGATTATAGCACGCAAAAAAAGGTAATTTTAGAATTCTTAAATTTTGCTTACACTTTGTCAGCAAAAAATATTATTGGCTATCGCATCAGTTCAAGCTTAAGTGTTGCAGCGCAAAAAAGTGAAGTTTAGTAATTTTAGTAAAGTATACGAAGTTCAAATAATTAAAACAAATTGGTTTGACATTTCTTGTGCTCAGGGTCAGCAGAAATAATTGAATTAAAGTAAACTAAAAATACCTGCAATTTTAAAGAGCATCATTGGTATCATGCAATTTTAAAGAGCATCATTGGTATCATGTAGCCAATTTTTTTACTCATTTTTTCATTAATTTGTTTTGCCACTTACTAAAATAAATTTTCACTCTCACACCAACAGCAAAAGGCAATCTTTTTGTTTTGGTGTACAGATTGTATAGTACATCAGAACAAGTACACCATATTTGTAATAGTATTACAAGAATATAACTGAAATACATGAGAGTTAGTAAACAAATCTTAGAATGCTTAGACGCAAAACAAAATCTTAGATTGCTTATGCTTCTGAAATTCAAGGTTTGAAGAGATCAATTGAATATTGATATCATTGGAATTTTTTCTTATCTATATTATTGCCTATATATATATATGTCATCTATATATTATAAAAGATAATCTAAGAGAGAGGCAAGAATTTACCAATTTCTTAAAAATATAAATTTTTCCAATTTAAATTTTTTATAGTGTAGATTAAACAGCGTATAAAAAATACTTAGGGAAAGATGGGGTGATACCAGATAGCTAAGTTTCGAAAGCCTGTTGGAGCTAAACTGTCAGATTTAATCAAGATATTCATTGTTTAGTTTTGTACAATATATCATTCTCGAAAAGTCATAGATGTATTACTTTTTTAATAAATAATTTTTTTTTTCTAGAAAAAATTTGTCTTACCCTACTAATGGAGTAAAATTGTTGTACACATGTTAACTTAATGAAAAAGTTTAGAAATGCTGCAACTTCAGTGAAAAAGTAGACATTTCTATTTTTAAGACAGTTTAAGGAAATTATGCATGTAATTTTCATGTGATGTAGTCAAGGCAGTAGAAGGAGGGGGGGGGGCGGACAATTGTTTCGGGGACCGGAACTGCAAAAGGACTAACCAAATTTCTTAAAAAATAAAGTGCTTATCACTTTTTTTAAAAAAATAAAAATGGTAGAGAATTTTTTCACATCTATTTAAAAACTACAATTTTTATATAGAGTGTCTTCAAACTTTCTACAAAATATGAAAATAAGGCTTTTGTGCTTTGGAAATGTTTCTGGCAATAAATTTTGTCCTGGGGCCCTTGAAACGTTTATTTAGCCTTGGATGTAGTTATTTTTTCCTTCCGTTGCACAGTAGCCTTCGTGGGCCCAACCTGGACGAGAATCAAGGAAAGGGGCACCAGATCGGGTAGTATCGAAACGATCGATCCGGTATTATCGAAACGATACAGAACAGTGCTGCCATTGGGCTAAATCCTAATTGTGTGTTAAGGTATAAATCTGTAGTAAACGAATAATAAGCTGGACTAAAAATAATTTTTATAACTGCAAGGACCAATAAATAAGGACAGCTTAAAAACAAGAAAACGTAAGAGATTTGACATAGCAAAACAAACTTAACAATGCAGACTCCTTGAATTAATCAAAAACAATACGCCAACATGGTAGGCATTTCTTCTTTAGTAAAAATGAAATTCAGAGCTTATTTGCTATAAGTCAGAGCCAGTTTTGCCAAAATCGAGGTAACCAGTCCTTTCTTATTCTGTCCTTTACGTTTCATTAACTTATAAAACTAATACTAAAAGGTTTTGTTCAAAAGATACCCCATGTTGATGTACCTCTGAACAATTATTTTTGAAAAATCCTTACTTAAAATTCATATAGTATAAATTAAACAGTGCATTGAAAGTATTTATTTCTCTAAATCATAAGGTTGAAAATTCTCTTAATAAATTTTTAAAAAAAATTAAGTTTTTAAAACCTTAAGTTTTTATTCAAAGATAAACAAGTCTTTGCTCTTCGCCAGATGGGTGTTGTATGCCGTAACGATATTTTATGCTCTAGTACACCTTTTATGCAGCACTTATACCATCTTCTATTATTATTTCAGATGCTATTTTCGCTTTTTTTGCATATGTACAAACTATTGTGTCTTAGTGTTTCTGCAACAAGAAATTAAATAAATATTTTTTTAAACAATAGTTTCAAAAATACATTTAAAATGAAGTTTAGTGCTAATTTACTTATTTTTTTTAATTATTATAACTGTTTTTAAGACCTTCAATTAAGTTTTAACTTTCAAATAAATAAATAAAAAAACAATAAATAAAAAACAATAAATGAAAAAAAATACAGAATAAACAAAGTATTTCAAAATTTTTTTAACCTAGCCCTACAAAAAAGCCTACTATTTCTAACATGTGAATCCAAAATCCCCTATTAATTCAATGTATATTGAGTACCTGACTCTCTACTTGAACTTCTGAACAAGTTTTTTCTTGAATAAGCGTTTTATAAAAAGATTTATCTAGATATTTGTAGAAACTAAGGTATGACACACCCTACGCGTCTGCTCCTTCGAACACATAATTCGAGTAAACTTTTAATTTTTTAATATTATTATGGTTACTAAAATGATTTGAAGAAATTAATGCAATATAGAACACACAAAAAATAGTTTTATTTATATACACAGAGATGCCAACTTGCACCGGACAGCGAATAAATATTTTCAAGTGGTAGTTTATCAGTTGTGATTCTTGGTTTAATAAATTCAATTTAGTAGATTTTTATCTACCCATATTTCTAAACGATTCGTAGGCTTATATAATTCACCATTTTTTTCGATATTTCGTGCTAAACCTTTTAAAAAACTAGCAAAATCTGTCTAATATTTGTGTAGTATGGTATACTACATATTAAGTAAAATCAATTGTTAATTCTAATTTAATTATCTAATCATCTAATTTATTTAATCATCTAATTTATTTAATCATCATCATTCATCTAATTTAATAATCATTTGTTAATTGTTAATTTGTTAATAATGTATTAAACGCTTAAATAATTGTAACTGTTAAATTTGTGATAAACTTTTAATTGTATGTTTTTTTAATTTCTTCCTTTTACACTTGTAATTAATGTTATTTATTTATCAGTATTCAATAATTCTTTGCAATATATTTCATGTAATATTTAAGTTTTAAGCCTCAATTTGTTTTGTAACCTTGGGAAAGTAATCTTTCTCTGCATTTATGTTCTTCCTTTAAAAGAAGATTCCTCCTTTTGTTACTTGCTGACAGCAAGATGTATGTCCAGTCAGCAAACCCCTATTGTTGGATGGAGAAGGAATGTCAGCAAGTCCTCTTTCCCACGTTTCGGCTTGCATCAATTGCAAAGCGCCCCTTTTGATCTTATGATGGCGCCAAGAATGTTCCAGAACATTCCACAAAATTCTTTACCAGGTGTATCACCACTTTAGACAACCCCGCTTCATGTTTGGCATGGAGCTTAACAATTAATTTCGCCAGTTGGCCAATATTTGCAGCTCTGTGATTTGCCCCTCTGATCCTTCTCCAGCCAACCGAATGGTTATTCGCAAAAGTTTAATTTTTTTGGCGAGAGTTTTCTCCCCTATCTTCATAATGAAGAAATAGTCAGTAGCAGTTGTTTTTCTCTCAATTGTAGTTTTGTTTAGTTTTTGCGGCTTAGGCCGAGATTTCTGGTGTTGGCATGTTTGCCAAGCATTTTTACCTGTTTTTAAATGTTATTTTATNTATATTCAAGGAATTTTTAAGCGAAGATGCAAAAACAAATTTGTTGTTTTTAATGTAATTTTACTGATTACCTTTTCAAATAATGTCTTTAAATAATGTCCTTAAGCAAAGAAAAAAAAATCCTTTCTCGTAAATTCTGATTATTTCAAGCTTAAGTGTCTCTGCTTAAGTGACTTTCTAGATCTAACATGGATAATTCCGTCATTCTCTGAAGAGAAAAAAATTCACTTAGTAAGGGAGAGAAAAAAAAATCTTGTTAATCGACATTTAGTAAACATTTAAACAATCTAAAAAAATTCCTGATTTTGAAACTCTTTTCTCTTGAAACTTAATGCATGACTGAATAGTAGTAAATGTCAGTTATATATATAAAAAAAGAAAAATAAACAGGAGTATCTGCTACTGCTACCTAATTATATATTTCTTGGAACAAAGTTGGTGGATTTCAGGTAACGGCTTTAAGCTAAGATAATAGTTTTTTTTTCTGCTTTAAACAATTGAATAGTTTTTAATCTGTTAATTACTATGGTTTTGAAAATGTGGGCAACTGTTTTCGAAAAGAACGCGTAAGCTTGCTTAAGCATAAGTATATTTCAATTTAATAACTCATAATTTATTGCTAATGTAAGACCGTTATTTAGCCGATTCTTTTTCGAAACTTGAGTTTAAACTTTAAGAAAATTCATCCTAAAACTCTATAATTATAATGAATGACTCTACATATCTTGGTTGGTATTATGATTTATTTTATTTCTGTTGCTAATAGTTCTTAAAGATTTAAACTGACGTAGTAGTTGAAATTGCGTTGGCATTAGAAATTTAGCAGAGTTGTTTCATATGTTTAAGACAACAGCTGCAAGCTGTGATTAGATTTCTTTTTTTCAGGCCAATAGCGCCATAGATTATATCACGTAAAAAAAGGTCATTTTGCTTATACTTTGTCAACAAAAAATACTATTGGCCATCACCGCAGTTCGCTTAAGTGTTGCAAGGGAAAAAAGTGAGGTTTAGTAATTTTAACAAACATAGTATACGAAGTTCAAATAGGAAAATAACTAATTCTGACTGAGCTAAACTGGCAGATTTAACCAAGATATTCATTGTTTAGTTGTGTACAACATATCGTTCTCGAAAAGACATAGACGAACTAAATTTTTTATAACTGTTTTTTTTTTCCTTATAGAAACAGTTTGGTCTTACCCCACTAGTGGAGTAAAACCGGGTACACGTATTAACTCTATGAAAAAATTTCAAAATGGTGGAATTTCCGTGAAAAAGCAGACAATTCTATTTTTAAGACAGTTTAAAGAAAATTATGCATGTAATTTTTATGTGACGTAGTCAAGGCTGTAGAAGGGGGGGGCAATTGTTCCGGTGCCCGAAACTGCAAAGGACTAACAAAAATTCCTCCCTATTATTTTTTTAAGAAAATGAAAATGGTATAGAATTTTTTTACATCTATTCAAAAACTGCAATTTTTATATAGAGTGTCTTGAACTTTCTACAAAATATGAAAGGCTTTTGTGCTTTAGAAATGTTTTTATGGCAATAAATTTTGTCCTGGGGCTCTTAAAAGGTTTATTTAGCCTTGGATGTAGTTATCTTTTCCTTCCGCCGCCCTGCAGCTTTCGTGGGTTCATCATGGACGAAAATCAAAGAAGAGGGCACCAGATTTTTATCCACCACTGTTTCTAAACAATTCGTAGGCTTATATAATTCACCACTTTTTTTTACGTATGTCATGCTAAACCTTTTAAAAACCTAGGAAAATGTGTCTATTTTTGAAAATTTAGTTTGTAGTTCTTTAACGTTTGGCCAGACGGGCAAGCCATTCAGCGTGTTAACAGTGTAAAAATTCATTCTTGCTAGATTTTTAAGTTTTAAATTATTTTAAATCGCGTTTAGAAAATTATTCAATTGTCAAAATAACTAATAGGGTTCAGTGAAAAAATTTTCTGAATTGAATTTCGCTTTCTACTGCTAATCTCCGCCCAGATCAAGAAATAGGCATCTGTTTTTTAAGGATTTAGTAGCAAAGCTAACAGAAATTCAAATTGAATAATAATCAGAGATTAAGATTTTACCTAGAAATTAGAACACTGTAGGCAAAGGGAGAGCAGATGCTTCAAACGAATCTGTGACTTTTGATTAAAGTATTAAACAAAGGACCGTATAGCCACGTGAACGCATTTTGTTCTAAGTGCACGCAAATAAAATAAGGGTTGCGTATTAGCGATGTAATTAAGCTTAGTGGTATGTTTATTTTATTAGTGTTTTCTTGCACACGAATTATAATTGTTCATGAATTTATTTTTTATCCATTTTCTAATTAATCAATCCGTATTCACTAATTATAAAAGAAAACAGTTTAAATACTGAATAATGCTATTTGTATCGAATTTCAAGCATTGGGGTATGAAATACTCTTAGCGCCAACTCGTGTGACTTTGTAGAGGGCGCGTTGGATTAATTTAAAAATTTGTAATTAATTAAACTTAGTCTGGTTCTGATATGTTTACTTGGTATTTTTCAATGTTCAAAGGTGCTCATCAAGTTTTATCGAGAATTACCCCATAAGCTATGCTTTCCTTAGCTACTGATTAAAGAATTAAAACAATAAGGTTAAATTAATTTTGATTTTATTCATCCTTTTAGATTCAAGAGTTAAAAGCAATGCATACCTTGCTACGATTGCAGTATTTAAGAAAAATTGAACTTGACCTAACCTTTTATAGGATATACCACCCCTCCAAATTCATTGCTTTCTTGAAATTACATATATTTGTAGGCTTGTGTGCTTAATTTAGGCTTATAAGCCTTTGTCAAGTAGAAGGACAGATAGAACAATTCAAAGAAGGACATCGCAAAGAATACATCTAGGGTTACGGCGGGGTTCGAACTCGCTACCTCCGCACTTTGCACAGCGTTTGGTGGGCGAGCAATACCGTTCAGCCAGGGAGGAACCTCCGAATTCATTAATTTTTAAATTCTGAAGATATTTTCCAACCTACGATTTTTGATGCCATTTATTGAAAACTTAAAAGAAAAGTAAACAATTAAAGGCTTTGTGTACATAAATGTTTGAGTGGGGTCATAACTAGGGAGCCATATTCTTCTTGAGCATTATCCGTTCGTTCATTTGATCATGTCCAATCGAGTTTATTTGCAGTTACAGGGACATAACTTATAAATTCTCTAGTGTCGGCCAGGTGGCCGAGTGGTTAGCGTGCCTGACTGCGAAGCCAATGGCTGCGGGCTCGAATCCCTCTCTGGGCATGGATGTTTTTCTCTCTCTCTCTCTCTCCCTGGTGTCTTCTGATGTATGAATGTGACCCACCCCATGAACGGGTATTTGTGGCATTGTGGCGTGGGTAATGTTGCTCGCCTCTGTGACTTTGGTTCACAAGTGCCCACTGGGTAACGATAAATGAGCAACACTTCCGACATCTTCTAAGTTCAGTGCCTGCCGTTATTAAAAAAAAAATAATAATAAATTCTCTAGCTTATAATCACAGAAGTTCAAGTTAATGGCCAATTCTTTACAGCACTTAAAAATCCCACACACCTTCCTTCTAAAAGTGGTCCAAAAAACTGAATTACTGTTTGGTAACAAACTAAATAAATTAATTTTTATACATCAATTTTACTCCCAAAAATATTTTTACTCTAAGTTCCTAAAAAAAAATGGCCCTATAAAGGGTTAGCTTGCTACTTAAGATTCATACTTATATCTAGACCAGGGTTTCTTAACCTGTGGTTCATGAACCCCTAAGGGGTCCACGAGTTATATTTTGGGGGTCCGCTGACTACTCCTAATTTTTAAAACGTTTGGAAGCCTACCCATTGCTTGTAAATCGAACTATGGCAGCTATAATTCCGTTTGCTACAGTGTATCTTTGCGAAGCGGAATTTTCCACACTTGTGACAATAAAAATATAACATCGAAATCGATTGAATGTTGAACATGATATACACGTTGCTTTGTCGAAAACCATCCCCCAATTAAATTTATTAATTAAGGAAAAGCAGCAGCAACCTTCA